AACTGCTCCATCATACAGAAATCGATTTGCATTTGCTTTGGTGAAATTAGCGATTATTCACCGTCCTCCTTATCACTTCTTTTAGCTATTTCCATTCACCCAGTAGCGGCGCTAACATGCAGCCCAGGGTGTTGGTCAACAGAAAAAGTATCAAGACTAATAGTGGAGTGATGTGTAAATGTGATTGGATGTAATTCAATCAATAACACCATGATTGCATGTTGTCTTTGGGTCAATAACTCTGCTGTGCTTAATAGGAAATGGATTTCACTTAAATGCTTCTTCACTCAAGACCTTCACCTAATTCCAGAACCATTATGAGTGCAAATGTTAAAATAGCATGCTTTCAAATTACAACACCGATCCTTAATTGCTTTTAAAAGAAACAACTGAGCTATTACCTCAGCACCATGGGAGTCTGAACGAGGCAAAGCAGAGTACGTTGGTGGTTAAGTAGTTTCTTAAGCAGAATGCTGTATAGTGGCCGATATTGTAATAATCCAATTCCAAAAGTATGTTTTTTGATAATTTTACAAGTTTTCTTTCTGCTTATAGTCTTCTTTCATTTATTATCAAAAACTGAAGACGATCCAAACTTCTTACACAAAACAATATGCTTTTTTTATTCATTTTCTCTCATTTTGCATGCTTTTTTACTTTTTACTTGTTGTTTTGCAGAATAATGCACTAGATTCTGTGCTTCAGATATATTTTAGGTGTACGTAATGCTGTCAAGTTTTGAGATATCTGAATAAAATGGATTTTGAATTGAGATTTTTTATAATTAGCGTAACATACGGATGATAAGCTGTTCAAATACCTTAAATACTAAGCTCCTTGTTACATTTTGTGTTTCCCTCTGGGTTTGAATATAGGAGGCGTAAAGGTTTATCAGGATGTACAGAACATCAGAGCTGCTAGCTGAAAGTACTAAGGGGGGGTTGCCCCCAGACTCGTCTTGTTTAATATTGCATAATGCCACTGTGGTTCCTCTCTGTCTTCCTGCTGCTGAGCATCAGTTCTGCTCAATGAGGCTTTATTGGTAAAGCGGTTGCTGAGGGTGTTCATGCGGGTGTTTTTGCTGAAGCTTGAGCGTCCTGATGTCGCCATGGAGGAGAACTGCTCTAGGTTTTCTTGGTGTCATCGGAGAACGTCGTCCCTTACCCTGCCTCTGTCCCGATCCCACCGGGTAAGGATTAAGGTTCAAAGGTTAGAGCTGCAAATTTCTGGGCTTTCTTAACATTTGCTTATAGTCTCACCTTTTTCCATGGACTAAGCCTTCCACAAAAAGAAATTTTCAACAGGTTTTTTTAAAGAGATTAGTAAAGAAATGACCTCTGTTTATATCTCAAAATGTTTTCTTCAGAGCTTTTGATTGATATTTATTAACACTCAAAACAAGCATGTCAGATGTTTAAAGCTGATGGGCTTATAGGCTGAAATGTTCTTAGTTTTGTGTTTAAGTAACGTTGGAAAATATTTTTTGTCTTTAGTTCACCAACCAATCGCTGTTCAGATAAGGTTCCTAAGCACAGTGTTCATGAAGCGGAAACGAAGCAGACTGTTTCATAAAATATATATAAATGAATTTTAATGTAAAATCAGATTAAAATTTTTTCCAGCCTGTGTAGATTTGTTTTATCCTTAAATTGTTGGATTTTTTAAGAAATAACTATTTCATTATAACAGCATGATATAATTTAAGCTTCTGTTTTATATTCAGTTAGTTATTTAATACGGATTCAAATATGGTTTTAAGCATTGTTATTTAGAAAAGTAAAAAGGATGTTTGTATTTTTAGTTAGTTATTTTTTGAGAATTTTATGAGAATTTAAATTCATTCTTTAAATGATGTTTGGGTTTGGGAAGTTACCATTGTGAAGGCATACAGAGATTTAACAAAGATCACAAATTGCGCTGTTGTATCTTAGTGCTTATTCTTTTAGTCTTTTGTGAGATCATAGAGCCCCTCCCCCACATGTTGCAACACAATGCCAGTCAGCTGGCTGAGGAATGTCGTTACAGTTTTGATTTGTTTCTGAGAAGGACAGATCTTATGGTATGGAAATGTTTTAGAAATGTTCATCCATCATCATGAACCCTAAGGAGCGCTAACCGTCGCTGTTATTGAATTGTTCTTAAGCTCCTGCTGGCCAGCTGTGAGGAACATTGTTTTTATTGCAGCCGACTGCCTGGGCTGATAGTATCAATATTGTATGATGGAAAGTTATCGACACACATTTTGTGTAACATTTTTTTCTCTTCTTATAAATCTTATCTTATACATAATATATATTCTTTCTCTAGAAGTTGTATATAAATTTAATATATTTTTCTTTTGAATTGATTATTTTTATCTTATGATTGTATACAGCACTTTGGTTCTGCTGGGTTTTGAAAGTGCTATATAAATACATTTGGTGTTGTATGTTTGACGGTAAAACAACTGGGCCCCTATACTGTCCATCCAGCTGTATATAAAGTGGGCTGCCCAGACTTTATGATCTCATGTTCTAGTTAAGATGTTACCTGACCGCTCATTCAATTGTGTGCTCTTTAATAACTCTGTTAAGCTACTTGTGTGTGTTGGGAGTGGCGGCCTACTGGTTAGGGCACAGAGCTTGGAATCCATAGGTTCTGAGTTTGAGCCCCACTCTGGGTCTCTGAGCAAGACCCTTAACCCCACACTGCTCCCTGGGCGCCCCACGATGGAAGCCCACTGCTCCCTGAGGGGATGGGTTAAATGCAGAGGGAAATTTTCCCCAATATGAGATCAATAAAGTTAAATTATTTTTATTATTATTACATGCTGCTCTCTTCCACAGCTACAGAAAGCGACTAAAAATAAACTGAGTCAGCCTTGTTTTGTTGTAAATAAAAATTTCAGGCAAAATAATATAAATTGAGCTTAACAGAAGTCTTTTATAAGCATTTGAATTAGGGCTTCAACTACCGATAATAATCGCATAGCCAAAGATTCATTAAAGACTTTTTATGAAATTAAACCAGGTGAAACTCGAAGGTTTCCACTTGAGGAGGTCTGGATAGAGCATATTGATGGAGATTTGTTCTTTTGAATACAAAATGTTTATATTGTTTTTTTGTTGTTGTTTTTTTTTACAATCTTGGCATAATTACTTGGTTGCTCTATCAGCTACAGGCATGTTTTAGAGTCTCTAGTCTCCAGTTAACAATTAAATAATAAATACATTTGTTGACGATTGTTTCAGTCCTAATTTAAATACTTTAGAACTCTGATATTCATAGTATTTAAACGAAAAAAAAAAACATTGAAACTGGAAAGTTAATAGATATGTCAATTTCAAATCATATTAAGTCTGATGCATTATCTACGTGTCCCAGCATTGTGTCCTGATCCACGTCTTGAACAAACTGTCCTCCAACTTTACAGATTCTCTGCACTCATAATTTGTGTCAACTAACTATTTATACTAAGTCACTTTACAGCCCTGAAAACACCTGATTCAAAGGAAATTGATCAGCTAACATTTGGAAAGCGGCGTAATGTCAATAACATACCTGTGATGTCTGAACATGGCACAGTCATATCATAATGACACCTTAATACTTTCTGTGATGATCGTTTTATCGATAAATAACGATTTTCAGCGGTCCAATATAATATTGATCTTTTTTTTTTTTTTTTAAACAGACAATTTAACCTAAAACAATGAGGGGAAATGGGCTACCTTTGCACGGCCACTCTGACCTCATATCTGTAGTTGATGCTGTCACAGTGGAAGACATGGACAGACTCAAACCCCAAAAAACATGGATACCAAAATACCTAAATGATAAATATCATCCGATAAACATATATAGCACTTCCTTTTTTATCTAAACATTTCATTTTGATAGCAGGGGAAAGTATCGCAATATGAAGTGATATTGCAATATCGGGATTATATCGTATCATGACCCAAGTATCGTGACACGTATTGAATCGTAACACCCATGCCAATACTCACCCCTACTTCTGATACTTTTTGTGAATGACTTTGGTTTTTTTGTAATTAAAGTGCATCTTATAAATACATTTTCTACATCTATGGCCACTGCCTGAGACAAATGAAGTCAATGAGAAGAAGCCGTCATGATTAGCTGATACAGCTGCAGTAAAACTGGATCCACATGGACTAAATGTTCTGCAGCTTCATATAGTAGCATTTACAGTATTTATATTCCTACCTATGCTAACCAACCAAATATCATCTATCTTTGATTATAACTGATATTTTAAGGTTTCTCAGTTCTGTGATATATTTATAAATTTTACCAACATGCAGTGTTTGTTAAGGCCACACTCATAGTGCTGCATTCATCTATGCTCGTATTTCTGAGCATCAATGTGAGCTTGTCGTTTGTCACCTTAATTTAGGGCCATCCACCAATCAAACGAGTTGATCCCCCCCGGACATAGAACTGACATGTTGGCTGTCTGTGTGAGTAGAAAGGCAGGATTTAAGTCAGTCTAAACTCCTGGATCATAATTTATGACCATTGGAAGATCTTTTCTTCTCTGACCTCCTCAGGTTAATTATCCTGGAGTACAGCTTGTCAATCAGTGCCAGCACAGCTCTGGCTTTCAGCCTGATGAAAAACCATTGCATGTGTGTGTTTGTGGCCAAGTGTTTGTTACATTGTGGGGATAGTTTCAGGCTAATATCTCAGGAATATGCTACACGGTGGGGACCTGCAGGTCCCAATTAGGTTTTCTATTGAGGTGGGAGGTTAGGTTTAGGTGAGAATAGAGTTTAGGGTTGGGTGTGTGTTGGTAATGGTTAGGCTTTGAGTAAGCGTCTGTTTTAGGCTGTACAAATGACTTGGAAATGTCAATAGAAAGTCCCTGTATAGATAACGGGACATAACGGATGTGATTGTGTTTTTTCTCTGTTGTACAGGAAATGTTACAAAACATTTGTCCTCCTTGAACTCTAATCCGCTTCTGTGTTTTTTTTCCCTCTTTCCTGGTTGAACAGCTTCCTGCCGATCTCAACAAGATGCACCTAACGGACCACGCCCACCAGCAGGTGATGCACATGGCCCCCAGCCAATCAGGATGCAGCATAACCAGCGACTCAGGGAGTAGCAGCTTGTCAGACATTTACCAGGTGGGTTCAATGAGAGAAACATGTTTCTTCAGATAACAGGATCAAAAGACCTCTCCAGATTTCCCATAAGAAAAAAAAAGATTTGATGAAAATTGATGAATAAATGATACAGCTTTTCCTCTCTCATGTTGCCATTAATAAATAAACAGGAATGATACAATTAGTGACAAGCCTCTCTACTGGTACCAGATCAGTTCTGATGGTTCTTTACTTTCATTTTAATCAACTTCTGTTTAGTTTCATCAACCTGCTACTTATCAGTCAACCTTCCTAGCTACCTCCTTTTAATCCTTCTCTTTATCCTAATTATTGCGCTTCTGTTCTGCATCCTGGCGGCTTGCATCCATCTCTACTTCCTGCTGCGGACAAAAGGTCATGTGTAGGAAATTACCCTAACCTTTACTACTCCATCTCTTCCCGTCCCTCAGGTAAAGAAGTGGAATCGAATCACTCTGGCTGGATTAGTGGCGGTCATCTTGTAGAATGTGAGCATGGGTTTGTAGGCAGTGTACACTGATGATGGACAGGGAAATGGTTTTGGGAGGAAGGATCAATTAAGATTTATAACCATTTCAGTCACTTAGGAGTCTATAAATCCTCAAATAAAGCTAAAGCAGTAGTTTGTAGATCAGAACCCTCCCAGGGATTCGTGAGACTGATGGCATCGATCTGATGTAGACTTTCTAACTGGTTTCTGACTTATTTTAAACAGCTTTTGGTTCATTTTCAGCTTGATTAATCCCTGAAGGTGACCTGAGTGTTAGATTCAGAGATTCAGCCTTTAGCGAAAGTGATCAGCTCAAAGTTTGCTTTGAATTTTCCCCAAGCTGGTCCTACTAACCAAACCACTGGGTATGGATGTTCTCACTAGTGGAAGCAGGCTGAAACATAGCTGCCATCAGTTTCAAAGTAAATTCAGGGGGAGCAAAAAATGGAAATGTAAAGACATTTTTTCCTTTTTTTTTTAACCTTGGTACATAATTATTTGTACCCTCTCATGTTTATGTTTTAGTTTACCCGACTCAGAAATCATAGGGACATTTTGGAGATGCCCATTCAGAGTCAGGAGGATGACAGAGAAAGGCTATAGATTAGGGTGATGCCAAAGAGGCCCTCCATCCTCAAAGACGTGGAGCTCATTTTTTAAGATGTCGCATTTCTTCAGGCACAAAACAACTTCTTGATTCAAATTTTAAATCTAACAGGAGGTATGAATATTTTAGGGACTATTTGTATATCAGCTGCAGCTTTCTACATGCTGCATCTTGAGGAGATTAAAGAGATATTAATTATATAAAATTTAGGTTTTGTTTTAATCTTATCAACTTGGCAGCGTCTAAAGTTTTACGTTAAGCATACGTCTGCAAGATGAAGAGAAAACACAGTGAGATGGCTGTTTGGGGCTGGCTCATCATGCTAACTTTGCTAGTTGCTAATATAAGATCCTGCATATATTTCACATTTTAATTCAGAGATCCTTTTGTTTTAAATTTAAACAGAAAAGCTTTGCTTTAAAACAACTGTTTTCTCACACACAGGAAATAGCTACTCTTGGTAGGAAGGCAAAAAAAGGCATGGATGCACATAACTATAATTCTTCAACGTAAAGATATATATAAAAATATATGAACTGATTTAGGCTTTGAAAACCAGAAATGGTCCCCAGGTTTCTAACAGTGCTCTGATTGAATTACCTAAAATGTAGCCACATTAAAAACTCTTATTATATGTAAGTTGAACACTTCTAGACCACAGAAGGATGCAGAAGTCTTTTCCTTTACTGATCATCTTCTAATGGCTTGCAGGGGTCACCATAGTGAGCCATCTGTGTTTATCTAACCCTTTAGTTTGAATCTTTTTCACTCACACCAACTACCTTTATGTCCTCTTTAACTCCATCCATATAACTCGTCTGTGGTCTTCTTCCTGCCCTCCTGCCTGGCATTTATAAAGGAGGCATAGTAGGGCCATTATCCCTCCTTTATAAATGCCCAAGCCATCTTAATCTTCCCTCTCTGGCTTTATCTAAAAACCTGTGTAATCAGTCCTGTTCATATCCATGCGTATCACTCTCAAAGAGAAATTTAACATTTTCATCTCAGCTCAGCCTCTTTTCTCTTCCTTAGTCTCGCTATCTCTATACCATACAGCATTGCTGGTCTCTTCGCCGACATTTGCACCTTTGCCTTTTTAATCCTGCTGTAGTATTTTATCAAATAACACACCTCAGGCTTTCTCTCACCCTTTCCGACCTCCTTGGACACACTCCTTCCCCTCTTTTCCACACTCTCCTTTGCTCTAGACTGTTGGTCTTCTCCTTTCCAGAGCAAACCTCCATCTCTCTAGTTTTTCCTCCACCTGCTTTAACTGCAGATCACAATATTTAATTTAATTTAATTAATGTATTTGACAGGGACAGTGTACATTAAAAAGCATGTCTGTAAATGCATCAGAATTAGCCAAAAGGCTATTTTTAATCTGTTGTCCCTGGACAGGTCTTAAAATTGTCTACCTAAAAAAAAACAACACAACAGTAAGCATTCTACAATGAAAATGCAAATATAAAAAGAAATACAAACAGCTATAACTTCTCAAAACTGATTTAAAAATACAGAATAAGTGTTCGCTGGACTACTGATTTTAGGTTCATAAAATAGAATAAAATGTCATCTGCAAACTTTATAGTCGGTGGTGATTCCTGTCTAGACTCATCAGTCAACCTGTTCGTCTCTGCAGGAAACAGGTCATAGTTCAGAGCTGGTCCTGCAGCACACCTCAACACTTTCTTCCAACTCCCATTCATTTCCTTACATACTGCTCTGTTACTCCACACGTTCTCATACATCAGCTCAGCTCATAGGTCTGCAGAAACATTGCAGCTCCGACTGACCCTCTCAGTATTTCTCCATCAACATCATCAGACATGTTACATCTGTAGTTTGTTTGCTTAACATGGAACCATACTGCTAATCATGTCCTTTTTTCCCCTTTTATTAGTAAAACATAGATTTTAGATAGTTTATGTTATCTAAATCTATCCCTCCTTTGCCAAATAGTCTATTAAACCACATAAAAAGGTCTCTTTGTTTGCCTCTTCCTCTGCCTTTGTGACATTTCTCTAGTTTTTGCCGACTAAGTGTGCTTTGAAAAGCCTCTCTTGAGTGGCTGGCTGGTTGAAGGGTTGAGTCAATTACACAGAGAAGAATGCATAATAAGCCTGTCATCTAATCGTTTTAATCCGCCAACTTTTCTGATCTTTGCTATTTGAGGAGAAGCTGAAACGAATCCAAGAATGTTGCTTTTATCCTCCACAAGCTCCAACTTGCAGTAATATTTAATAGTCCTGCTTTCCGCGCCGTGTTTATAAATGGATTTGCAAGGGTTTCGTATCGAAAGGCGGCTGTTTATTTTAGCTACCTTTAATCATCTGTACCATGATGGTTACTCTGACAAAACTATAAACCTTGGTAACGGTCAAGAAAATAATTATCATGGAATAAATTTGGTTTGCATTTTATATTTAGAGAAAAGATAATCTTTTGGGCAGTTGTGCACATTGTATAAAAACAAAAACAGGGAAAAAATTGGCAAAGCAAAAATGAAAACCAAAAAACAGATTTAGGATATGTTATCCTCCTGTTTTTCAACTTACTGCAGGATTTGCAGGAACTGTTTCCTTGCTGATGCAACGAGGTTAGCGAGGGTCAGACATTTAACACAGAGTAGACCCTCTCATCATCAGACTCGGTATTTATCACACGGATTTGATCCCATCAACTTGTTGCTGACCCGGCCCCATGTTTGTTTACCGCTGTCTTAAAGAGCTGACCCTTCCAGTCAGCCGTGCTCCTCAGCTGTCACCATTTTACTGAGCTGCTCCCGTGCATTTATATTTTTCTACCTCAAAAGTTTGATTTTGCTCCATTCCCCCAACTTCTGGACTTTTTCTCAAATTCATCATATTCCTCCCCTTTTGCCCCTTTCATCCCTGAGCTGCTTTATATTCTGAGCCAACATTTTCGGATCTCTCTTCTTGTGCCACGCCGCTGTAGTTTAAACTCATTTTGGATTTGATTCCATATATCTCTTAGAAATAGGCTAAATAGGCTATGTTTTAAAACTGGTGATGTTGGATTTAAAGGCGAACCTGCTAGTTGATCAGGTCTGAGTGGCAGTGAAGGATACATCCATGATGGTTGATGAGAGGAAAGAAAGTAAGAATACAGTTAGCTGTTGCTCTCTTAATCTTATATTTTTTTTTTAACCTTTTTTTTGTCTTTGCTGTGAATCAAACACCTTCTATAAAGGTTCAGAGTCAAGCTTTCCATCTGATCAGCTTTTTTATTTCCCACATGCATGACATAAATCAATGTGAGAATACATTTTCAAATCAGCAGATATTAAATTCCTGTTTAATTCTAACTTTAATTTACTGCTTGAAATTCAAAAACTCAAAAAAAATCATAATTTATAATAGTGATGTCAAAATATTTTAGTTTTATTTTCTCAGTACTTTGTCTGGTTTGTTTGTCCAACTCCATGGCGCCCCGAGGTTTGGAAGCAGAAAAGGCTGAGCAGGTGGCCTCTTTTCAAAAAGGCTTGATTACATTTTTCATCTCAACTCCTAAAACAAAAAGGTTGCCAGTTTCCTTGCTGCTTTGGAGCCTATTAAACCGTTATGTCCAAACCTCAGGAGAGCCTAAGAGCCTGACCACGTTAGTGAGTCCATCTTATGTGACTTAAAATATTTGTTTTTTGTTTTTTTTACAGCATCTATGTCTGCTATTGCATTAGCTTTTATTGCTATTATATTATTTCTACTACAATGATGACAAACGTTGGCTCTTTATTATACAGTGACTTGAAAAAAACATACTTTAAAGATTTAGAAGTTGTTTATTTTTTAGTGATTAAAAAACCAAAGTGTGGCATGTTTTTATTCAGATGTGCTGCAGCAGGTCTTTGAACCTATTTTCGATGCTTTTGCAGCCCAAATCTGTTTGGGTGAAGCTCATATCAACTTTTCAAACTCTGACATTTTAGCTGATAATCACTTTTATCTAAATGAATCCATCATAAATAATTTTTACTATTAAAGTAAAATAAAGCTTAATTTACCAGTCAATCCTAAAGTTATTGAGAACGATCTGCAACATTGAACAGATGGAATCCAGTGGTGGTAGTAGCCTTTCACCTGAAGGTTGATGGTTTACTCCCCCATGCTCCTTCTGGAACACATCCTGCCAATCTGGATCTCTGCACAGCCAGTTCATTTGAATATTCAGTGTTTTTTTTTTTTTTCTTCAGAGGCTGGAAAAAGGAGATTTGAACAGAAATGTGAGGGTGAAATTCGTATCTAAATTGAATTGATGATTTATTTGACTTTTTTTTTCTTTTATACTCATTAAAAATGTATTATTTTCATTTGTATCCTTTTACGGTAGTTTAAAGTACAAACCTGTAAGCAATACGTTAGCACTTTATGTGATGGACAGCGTGCCGAGCATAAACAAAACTTAAGTCGTTAAAGGCCTCTATTGAAAGCTTTCAGCTCCCTTCTGGAGGACAGGGAAGTTTAGGGGGTAAAAATATCCTTCTTATACCATGGTTTGAAAACAAAAAAATTGTACCTGTTTTTAGTGTTGCGCCAATGCCATTTTTTGGCCCCGATATCTGGCTGTGTAGTATTGGCTGATACCATAACAATACCATCTGTTTGAATTTGATGTGTGTGTGTATATATGAAGAACTGCATGCTACTTGGATGTAAAATAATTGCCATCAAGGCTTTGTCAAGCTGCTGCCTACCTTTGTGAAGCAGGAAAAAGACTAATACAAAGTGAATCCAGTAGAACTTTTTATTGCCTACCTGGAATGGGTGACAATAGTAACTTTTTGGCTCTCAAAATGGTATCAGTTCCCCAATTGGCCAGCAAATCCAACTTTTTCAGCTTCAAAAAAATCTTTTATAAAGGGATTTTTCCCGTTTGTGCAAAAAAATTGTGAAAGCTTATTGTGATTGTAAAAAAGGACCACTTTGTGTTTTTTTTTTTTCAGGCCACAGAGAGTGACTTAGGAGATGTAGACCTGTCAGGACTTCCAGAGGCTCCAGTGGACAGTGAGGAAGAAGAGGAGGAAGATGAGGACTTGGAGAGAGCTTCAGACACTCTCTTGGGCCGGGACCTGGTCAGGGAGTGTCTGGAAAAGGATCCAGTCGACCGTAACGATGACGACATTGGTCAGTTTCATTTCGTATTTTTCTTCTACCTTGTTAGATTTAAACTCACTTTGGATTTCAATCAAGTTATTTAATCATTAAACACGTGAAATTCAGCTGCTTTAACTTAGCTGTCATTCTTTAGCACGCTTGATTCTTCTGTTGCTTGTTTTGTGATTTTGTCCGTCACTCATCGAGAGCCCCCAGAGGAGCTGTAAAAGTTACCCTCCCCTTTAAAAGCCCCGCTGAGTTGTCTAAGCAGCACTGTCCTTCTAATGTGTTTCTAAGCAGGCAATCAGATTAACGGCCTCATTAGCGAAAGCCAGCAGGGTCCTGGGGAAGAAGGTGACCACATCAGAGAGCTCAGAGCGGCCTGCTGTGTGCCTGCCAGGGAGGCTGGGGTCTGGCCTTTTCATGGCCTTCTCTGGAACCATCACAGCTCATTCTGTGGAGATTCATAATGAGGAGAAGAAAATTAATCCAAAACAGCCTTATACTTGAGATTTTCCTAAAGATTAGATTTCCAATCTGTGTCCTCATATGGTCAGCCTTCTTAATTTTAGCATTTATAATGAAATGGTCAACATAAATTAACTTTAAATTCAGATTATATCGTTATCACTGACATGCAGTGGTGGTAGAGGGCTTATGCACAGTTATATCTGCATAATGTACTCTAGAGTTTGCTTTGCAGAATAAAATAAATTCCTTTCTTCTCATTGTCATTTGCATCTGAAAAAGAACAAATTCAAGTAGAGTCCAAAAAGAAAAGAGAGCAGGAAAACATCCGATTACTGCAGTGAAGATGCGACGAAAAAATGTCTTAGAGTATATCAGCAGCTTGGATCAAGGTCACTCTGTTCTCAGCTGCAGCACAGAGACAAATTCTACATCTCTTGTGGGATTCCATCTTTATGATTTATACACGCTGGTGCCTGAGTGTTTCTTTGCTCCGGCTGTCATCTTTAAAGGTGGAAAACTTCTTGCAGTTTTGTTGCAGTTATCGTTTTTTTTTAAACCCCTCGGTGTAGTGTCAGGTTTAGAGGGTTTGGTTTTGTGCGGTTAGTGGAAATATCTAAACCTTATATTAGAATATGTTGCTATTTAATTCTTTAATGTTTTTTTTTTGTTGCTAACAGAACAACTGCTGGAGTTTATGCATCAGCTGCCTGCATTCGCCAACATGACCATGTCTGTGCGGCGGGAACTTTGCAGCGTTATGGTGTTTGAGGTGGTGGAGCAGTCCGGCACAATCATCCTGCACAACAAGCAGGAGGTAGGAACGTTTTCAGATTCACATTTTAGCCAAATTTAACTTCAAACTCAAAATCCTAATAAAACTAAAGACTTAGGTCCCAGGAGCTCAGTATTTTCCAGTCCTCCTTTGAGGTTTTTCCATTGTAGCAAACAAGTATAAAGTTGTATGGAATTTAAATGTTAGGAAACACATAAAAAGTCGTTGTTTTAAAATGGTTTGGTCACATGTTAGACGGATAAATCACCTCTCTTAAAACCAACCCAAGTTAATAACCAGCCATATATAGATGTGGCTTTCCTCTTTGATTCTCCTCTCTGCATATTAAGGAAATAATCTCTACTTGCTGGACTAGAGTTACTTCCCAAAATGAGTTTGAAATGGTCCCGCACAAGATAGATTATCATTAAAGTAACTTCTTTATGCACTTCCTATGCATGTGCTGATAGAAACCCTAGTGTGGTCAGTAGCTATATCAGGGCTGGGCCATTAATCAGGGTGATAATTAATCAAATCTGTTTATGAAGATTAAATTTTTTTTTTTATATTTTTTATTATTTTCCACCAATCCACTCTTTAGGCTTTCAAAGCTCAGATTGAGATCAGTTCATTACTTTAAGTTCTCATATATCTCCTTGTAGCTTACTGCATGATAGCAGTAGCTGCAAACATTTAGTGTGTATTTTCATTGTTTCACAGCTTGAAGTTCTTTGAAATTCAAATCCAGGTAATTTCGTGAAGGGGAAAGATTTATTTATTTATTTTTTAAATTATTGTTATTTTTCATTTTTCTCCTCTCAAAACTTAAGGGAAAAAAATATCGATTAATTGAATTTGGTTGAGGGAAAAAATCCTTGAATGTATTTTTAAGCCATATGGTCTGGTCCTATAATGTGGACACAGGTCATATAACCTTAGCCTCAGTTCACTTCATAGTTCCAGATTCAGTGTCGTCTAAAAATCAAAGGTAGATGATTTTTTTTTTTTTTTTTTTTATCATCTTCCCTCCAAAAATCCCATCTTTGTATAAAGATGCTTGAAGGGGATGCTGGGCAGAAATAAAAACCTGTCATTTCTTTATTGAATCATCTCATAGTTTGCAGCAGAAATCAGGTTTGCTCTTTTTTAAGCACGTTTTCAACAAGGTTTTATGTAATTGTGTGTGAATCATTAAAACCGTTATTCTTACATAGATTTCTTTAGAAAATATTTCCTTTATTTCTGTAGTTTTTACATGAATCCTCAATAGAGCTACTGTCTTAATGGCAACAGTGATATCACTCTTAGCACCATGAGGCAAACAATAGTTCACAGCTTTAGGAAACATTTCAGCTCGTTTGCTCTAAGCCACAGCAGCTGATGTGTGCAGAACAACTGCAGCAAGTGAGCCTTGTCAATTACTACAGAGCTAATTAATGAAGTTACATGGCCGAGAAACAGGAGATCCATTAGCCTCCACACAGCAGCGCTTTAACAGACGGGGCCAATAAATGACATTGAATTGGCTAATTTAGGTCAGAAAACAGGGAGAAATATCAGCTGCAGTAATATAAAAAAAAAACTAAACAAAAAAGGATATTTGAACAGGCTTCAGTTGTGTCCATGCGCTTCCCTGTCAGGTCGATTGATGGCGAGTTCTCCTACAGTGTCTCTGAGGCTCCACATGGTGAATGTGAAAGAGAGGCTCTTGGCTCCACTCAGAAGTCAAAACGACTTGGCAGAGGGAGAGGGAGATAAAGACTCTAAAGTGGTTTTGTCCTGGTCAAAAGGGAGAGGATGTGCTGAGAAAAAAAGAGATTTATTCTTTACTTTTAATGTAATTTATAGTTGCTAATTATTTCTGTTGGAGGCTTTAACATATTCAATAAATAAATCCAAATGATCTATAATATGGAACAAAAATGCCTCTCAGCAACTTTTGTGTTCTTTATCTCTGGTCGATTGCCTTCTTTCCCTCCTCTATTTCCATTTCATCACCGTTAAAAAGCAAGTTGGACCTGAGGTATAATGACAGAAATAGAAAGGAATCGGGCAAAGAAAGGGAGAACTACACAGTTGGGTTGGAAATTCTTTTAGGGGTGAGAATGAGAAGGAAATATCATGTATGACTGCAGAGGGAGCCAATAGTTTACCATCCTTCCAGTCATATTTTTTAACCCTCAGAAATGAAGAAACTAAAAATAAAACTCAGAAACTTCAATATAGTTTGAAATCTACTTTTTTTCCATAAATCTTCGGATTTTAATCATAAAAATCAACAACCTAGCCAGTATGCAGCCTTGTGAATGCTTGTTAATATTGTTAAAAATGCATTTTAAAGACTTATTTTAATGTGATTGAGTGTTGGAACCTCACCAGCACCTCACCAGTACACTATAACCAGGTGGTTTTGTTGAACTGTCTGCAGCTCGACCACTGGTATGTGATCCTGAATGGAGCTGTGGAGATCAGCCATCCAGAAGCCAGAACCGAGACTCTGTGTATGGGGAACAGTTTCGGCATCTCACCCTCGTTGGATAAACAGTACATGAACGGAGAGGTTCGCACCAAAGGAGATGACTGTCAGGTAATGCAAGACAAACATACTAACGGGTTTTCTGTCGTGCAAATTCCACAAATCATTTCTTTTTAGAAATCAGCTGCAGATTCATTAAAAGGAAAAAGGTTTGCTTTAGTTTTAATGTTTTGATCTCCCACCTGTTAACATGCGCACAAAGTTGAGCTTCAGCTTAAACATTAATTTCAGTCTTAAAAACTAGACAATTATTTGATATATCCTTTTAAAATTAATAACTTTTTCATTAAAACTGTTGCTAAATTTAGTAAATGTTTGTTATAATTTGATAACTTGTATTTAAGGAGCTATGTTTTCATTAGATATTGCTCAAGTATACACTTTTATTTTATATAAAGTTACTGTTGTTTATCGTTAAACTTGCATATTTGCTAAAGGTTAATCCGAAACCTTACGAAGTGTAAAAATCAATATAAAAATCAATATCAAAAAGGGCATCTCTAGAAGAGGGTTCAGGGTTTTGAGAACTGCTGCAGGTTAAACTTTAAGAGTTAAGCTATATTTAAGAAAACTAAAGATACCACCATCTACAGTTTCACAGCAACTCAACAATTTCATGCTAACAGTTCAGGAGACTTAAGTGTTTTAAGATTTTTTCCATCAACTGTTAGATTAAGTGTGAATTTTTATGACCTGCTCCGACAAAATGATGACATCCTGCAATAGACTGTGGACATATCTAATGTATCACACTTGGTTTGCTGCGCAGTGTCACCTAAGTGATAAAAAGCACACATATTGCGACTCGCTTTTTCTCACTTTATCCTCCTTGCTGACATCAGTAAAATGTCTGACTGCTTCTTCCTTTAGTAAAAATAAATAAATGATTTGATGCTTCCGTCTTTTATAAGCAAGAATAAACTGTTCCTGTACAGCAGTTTTTTTTTTATAGCTCTAATTTTAGTCCTGTTTTGCTTAAAGTAAAAAAAGAAAGTCTATCCCAGAGCAAAAAAAAGGCCAACGTTGAGTTGTTTTTCATTTCTGCTTTTCTTCTTCAAGTCCACGTCTTCCTCTACAGCTAGTAGACACTACTCGGTTATTTCCCCTTAGCTCTCTTATTTTTAAACGCCCATTATTTTTCTTTTTGGCAACAAAATCTTAGTTACATGCTTAGTAACCTTAGTAACAGCAGTGTTTTTTTTTTTTTGTTTTTGGTTGAGATAACAAAGGTTCAATAGAAAGAGGGTCCCTTTTTCCACACTGACCAGTTCCTCTCCTGTGCACATCATTTCCTTACCACACATAAACAGGAAGTTGCAGAGGTAGAACTTGTGAGACACATGCAGAAATTGACGAGTTAGTCAAGAGGAGCCCCGCGAGTCTTCTAGTCATGTCTTAGAGATTTCAAGTTCAGCGGGAGATAATGGATGGTTGGATTGACTGAGATGATTTTGGACCTCATCTACTTCCTAGTCAGCTCGCTTTAGTTTAGGTCGTCGCGTTTGGACGTTTCCTTCCTCTGTCTGTCCGTCCGTCTCATGCCTCACTCTGCTCACTCTCATGCCTCCTCTTTGCTGTTCACCGAGTATCCAAACGTGGTGCAGAGCAATGTTCTGCTCTACTACAAATTCATCCGCTGTCCCCATGTCGTCCTCGACCAGTTCGTCTGCATCGCTCAGGAAGACTACTGGCGCATCCTCAACCATGTGGAGAAGAATACGCACAAGGTTGAAGAGGAGGGGGAGATCGTAATGGTGAAGGAGCACCGCGAACTGGACCGCAGTGGCACCAGGAAAGGACACATAGTCATCAAGGTTTGTGGCACTATAATGTCTCCTGTGGTTAGATAGATACAGGATGGAATCACAGCCAACCAGAATCATTTTCAGTTTATAAGCTTATGAAACCGCAATATTGGGTCCAAACCTCAGTTTAATGACTTTTACAGCCAGTTTCTTAAAAATCAGCTGCATTAAATCTGCTCCATGGGCTTCAGTAATCGTTATGAAGCACCACTAGCAGTTTATTGTTTGCTGGAGTATTTTCTTGTCAGCTGAGATGCTTTCTGAAACCCTTTGATCCAATCCCCAAAGCTCCAGAGGCAGCCAGGTATCGATCAGCTAATGGGCCTGAATGATCCTCGCTGCTGCTTCTCCAAAGAAAAGCTGTCGGCTCTAAATCATATCCAGTGGAGACGAGTCAATTCACAAGTGTTTGCTTTTCCGCTTCTTTTCTCCAACTTTGTTCTCTTTGTGTCCAACAAAAGGCAGACGCATTTTCTAGTTTCTGTTCCCCAGTCACAAAAGTCGTTTCCTGCAGAAACCGCTGCTGTGGGGACATTAAAAAACCTGGAAAAACTGAAAGAAAATGATGCATCTTAAATGCTTTGTATTGATGTTGAAGTTCTATTCTAAACTAAAAGCTTTGATTCTTTGGTGCTATGTGGCTTTACCCTAAACTAGGTTTATATGAGTGACTCTGTGTGTCCTTGTTTTGATGATCACTAGTTGTCTCTGACATTTCTTTGTTAATGTTAACCTCCTGTATATTAAAATGTATGTACCTGCATGTTTTGGATGTTTAGTTCAAGAATGTGTTCATTCTTTTTGGACTTTATACAAACAATATTCAGTTTCAATCAGTTTTCTGTGTCACAGAAAAAAAAAAAAAGGTATTGTAATCAAGTTTTGCAGTTAAAAAAAACTGAAATTGGTTTTATTGATTTTATTCAATCACTGAGAATCAACGTTTTGTAGAGCCCCCTTTTTTTTTTTTTCTACTGCTCCATCTACAACCCATTAGAGATCTTTCTCCACTAGGGCTGAAACAATCAATCAGATTAATCGATTATTGAAATAATCAGCAACTAATTTAGTTATCAATGAATCATTAAAAGAAGTAAAGGGATTGTACGATATGCCTTTAGCTAACAGAGGGACCCACTTAAAGCAGTAATTATATACAAATGGTAAAAACATATATCAACATTTTGCATTTAAGATAAGAGCTTTTTCGTCCAATATGCTCTATCCAGAACTCCTTAAGTGGAAACGTTTCAGTGTCTCCTTGTTTCATTTTGTTAAAAAAAAACTTCTTTAAAGAACCCTTTTTTTATCCGATTATTAATTGATTAATCGAAAAATAATCAACTGATTAATTGATTTGCGAAATAATCAATAGTTGCAGCCCTAATCTCCTAAGTTTGCACATCCAGAGAGGAATGTGTGTTTTTTTATTTTTTTGCTTACTAAACTTCCAAAAATCAGAAGTTCATTTACACCGGATGCCAAGTCTGTAAGCATTTTTTTTCGAGTTATGACACAGTTTAGATTTAAGTCTTCCTTTAAGTACGCCATTCATTTCAGTTCTGCCTGATTCATACTGTAACAATCCAAAAGTGAGAATAACTTTTTATAACTTATGTAATAATTTATAAATATGTTCTGATCTTAATCATGTCATCATAGCTCTGGCTGTTAAGTTTAGGGCTGCTGTCCTGCTGAAGGTGAACCTCCAGCTCAGTTTAAAATCTTTTCTCTGACAGGTTTTCCTCTATAATTCCCCTGTATTTACAGGAGCCCCATCACTCTCTTCATTTACACTTACTATCTCCCTGTACAACTTAGAGGAATCATTCCCAAAGCATAATACAGCCACCAGCGTGTTCTAAAGTGCTTTACATTTAGGTCCTACCTATTAAAGTGATGAGCATGTTCCGTTTTTAATTTGTTAAAAAGTAAAACTATGGAATATTTTTCCATCTGCTTCCCTATTGTGCACTAGTGTCTTAGTTTTGGGGTGCAACATGAACATTTTTTGTTGCTGTATGCATGTTCTTTAAGTCTTTTATGTACGTGTTTATCTCCAGGGCACCCCAGAGCGTCTGATCATGCACCTGGTAGAGGAACCATCAGTGGTAGACCCCACCTACATTGAGGACTTCCTGCTTACCTACAGGACCTTCCTCTCAAGTCCCATGGACGTTGGCAGGAAACTGCTGGAGTGGTTCCAGGTGGACAGCCTCCGGGACACGGTCAGTTTTGACAGTTATTACATATGATTTATCCTGGAAATAGTTTGCAGTTTGAAAATTAAAGCTCTGTTGAAGGCTTAACATACGCTAAACTGCTCTGGTTACACCATGTACCTTTATTATACTAATGTAATGCAAGGGTTTCAAGTATTTAACTAAATTACCTCTTAGATTTTTTCATATCATAGTTATCGATCAGAAATTGATGCGTTGTGCTGCTCACCTGCAGATCAATACAAGAATAGCCAACTCAGCCATCTTTAAGCCAGCTACTGATTTGTTGATGCCCGCCGCTCTTCTTGTCCAGAACAACTTTAGCCTAAGATTAGAGTGGTAATGTCAATAGTCTTTATGTTGTCATTCAGCCTTACAATTTCCACCACCTTTAAAGTGGATCTAATAGGAGGATGTTAACAGAATGTAGAAACACTTTAAAAGATTTGCCTGAGAAAACTAATGGTGTTATTTTAGCAGAAACTATTGTTTCCCTTAAGTGATTTTGCTCTGGGGTAAGTAGCGAGTGCTGAATCTATGCTTGCCTTTGACAACGGGCCTTTTTTGTTGTTAGATTACGTTGGTATTAATTCTAGGTCTCCTAAGTCTTATTTCTAAACCTGAAGTAACTTTTGCAAATAGGTCTCTATTTTCTGACAATATCCTCCATTGTGTTTTCTCAAGGTCTTCAGGCTCAAATCTTTTCTGCATACCCAAAAGTACCAAATATTGAGAAGCAGCCTTTTGTTTAGCTTTACCATAAAGTGCTTTAAATTAGGATTGGAAACGTCTTTGTTTAGAGTGGCCTTCGTCAGCTTCCAGTCCAACTTTACATTTTTATATTTACATAATTATCTCATCTTAATTATTTATTTGAATTCTCTTTGATTATTTGTGTTAATTTTATTTCACTGCAATAAAATTCTCAGGTAAAGCACTTTGACTAGTTTTGCTACTGAAATGTGCTCTTTAAATGTTCCTTCCTTCCTTCCTTCC